CCTCTTTTCAGTGGTGGGCAGGGATAGGACTAGAGGAAATGGCTTCAAACTGAAGCATCAGAAGTTCCACAGGAACTTAAGGAAGCATTTCTTCACTGTGAGGGTGACAAAGCACTGGAACAGGCTGCCCAGAGAGGTTGTGGAGTCTCCTTCATTGGAGATCTTTAAAACCCGCTTGGATGCAGCCCTGTGCCACGTGCTCTAGGTGACCCTGCGTGAGCAGGGGGGTTGGACTAGATGACCTCTGAGGTCCCTTCCAACCTTCGGCATTCTATGATTCTATGACAACAAGGAATATTAAGAACTAACTGAAGGAGAAGTTAATTTCTGAAATTAGCAATATGCTGCAGCATTTCAAAACCCAATGGGAACCAAAAAGAGATGCCAGCAGGTTGCCCCTTATTATAGCAAACGGAGCAAATCCAATCAGATGAGTGTGTTGCTGGATCAGTCAAAAGCCACAGGAGCACCATTACAAAGCAAAAGATGTCTAAAAAAGAGGATTTTTTTAAACCTATTGTACTGGCTTGGAGCTCGGCTATTCACTAGCAGCGTCGCTAGTGAGGACTGAGAGAAGAGCCTGTCAAAAACCCAAAGAAGCCCAGAGTCAGCAGCCAGGAAAACCAGAAATAAAGTTTTAACGAGAAATTAAAAAGCCCACGAGAGCATTAAGAGTGCACTATTGCATTTAAAAATAATAATAAAAATAATAGGTTTCTGTTCAAAAGCTTCCCTTATAAGTAGGGGTGGAAGTAAACTACTCAGCTCTACCCCCGTTTTGGGATTTCTTCTGTTTTCAGGCCTAGACTTTAGAAATGCCACGATAGCTCCCTGCTCCAAATTTCCCTTTACTTAAAATAAGTTTCTCTAACAAGAACGTTGACCTTCAGAAACAAGGCAATGACCAAAAAAACTTCTGAGAAACCTCACTCCCGAGCCACGCAATGAAGTGGGAAACCATGGGAGTGCTTGGAAAAGACCTCAACAGAGGAAGAGATTCTGGTTAGATACATTTAAAATATTGAACGACCCAGACAGAGGAAGTTTTGCTTGACTGGTCTTGAGAAACCAGAACAAATATTCAAAGAAATATTTAGATAGTGAACCAAATACCAGACAGTGGAGGTTTTTGCTGAGGAAGCCATCAACTGCTGGAACGTGCTGCCAGAAGACACCACGGAGGCCCACGGCTCAGTCAGGAGCTGCCGTTGAGACAAAATGACCATCAAGCCACGTGAAGAAAGACTGAAATACAAGACAACGTTCTCTTAAAGAAATGTGCCTTTTTCTGAACTAAGATATCACCTAAATATAGAATGAAGATGTTTTGCTAAGGGGATGGTTATTCCATAACTGTTGCTGTAGGTTTTTCCTGAACTTTTCCTCTGAAAAAGTCTGCTGGGGGCTTTTTAGGTGACAGGATGGACTGCTAATCCCATACATTTTCACAGACACACACACACCGTGCTTATGTAAACTTATTTTCAAAAATGGGCTGTCAAGAGGGCCTCAGAAATCAATGCACGTGGATACATCACGTCAAACAAGTAGTGCTGTTCCCATCTCACTGCACTCAGTTTCTGATGTTCCCAAAGATTGTACTGAAGATGTGCTACATAAAGCACAGTTCTCGTTTTCTTTCTCTATGAAATTTGAGATTACCATCACTGAATCCTGCCAAATAACCTTGGAGGCAGAAGGAGAAGTTAGAAAAGCGCCTTTATCACAACCACAAAGCAGAAGTGTCAACCATTTGCTCGAAATTACATTCAGGAGGAAGCACAAATGGAAGACAACCGCGGATGGCATCTCATCCAAAATACAGCAGCTTCTGGACTTATCCAATTGATTGGAGGGAAGGAAAAACTTTCTGCCCATGAGGACAGTCAGGCAGCAGAGCAGGTTGCCCCAGGACATTGTGTAGGCTCCATCTTTGGAGGCTTCCGAGACTCGCCTAGATAAACAACCGGATGACCTGGTCCAATCTCTGCTCGGAGCAGGGTTCGGGCTAGGTGACCTCTGGAGGTCATTCCTTGACTTCTCCTACAAGCCTGTGGTCATCTGAGAAAAACACAACTCGCAGCTAGCTAGTCAGAAGATATCACGGCGAGGAAGTTGCAAACAGCAGATGCCCAGGAGGATAGAGGTTATAGGCAGCAAAGCAGGAAAAAAAAACTGCAAAAAGGAGGAATAAACCCAGACTGAAGGGTTTCAGGTCAAGGATGATGTACCCTGGCTCACTGCTCAAGAGGGGCTTGAATGACATCTCCTGGATGAGGCATCCTATCGCTCTCTAGGGAGAGCACGCGGGCAGAGTGCAGGATAGAGTATCGGTGCTATAGAGCACTCTGCAACGCTGACCCAAAAGCACATGGACCCAAGCAGTAATGCTGGGCTGAGCCGAGATATCCCTTTCAAGCTGCTCTCAGCAGCCTCAATGGTTATCTGGATTGCACACATGCCAAAACTACATCTTTTCTTCTTCCAAGAAGAGTGGTTGTCTCTGGGGAACTCCTTTCTCCAGGACTCAGCCTCTATGACTCTATCCCAACAGTCACAGAGGTTTGAATGTCTGTCATTGCACTACCAGCAAGGGGAACAACTATAGAAAGACCCTAGCTGCCTCCCTGTGACCCTTTCTTAGTGCCACCAGCTTGCTTCAGCCAAATTCTACCTACACAACACAAACAAACATAATAACTAAGAAAAGCCACATTTAAGCAAGCGTGGCTATTTTCATTGCAGAATATACGACATCAAAGCGTGATGCAAACACCTCCAACTTCCATTAGACAACTACTTTCCACCCCCACTCCCCCAATGACCTACTTAGAAGTCCTAAGGGTGTTGAAGGTTGCTTGCTGTTGAAACACGTACTAAACTCTGCACAAGAGAATTGTCTTTTTCTGTCCTAGGTCAAGTTAGTTGGACGTGATGTTCAAAAAAACCTCCACATTCACAAAATTTAGCTACTGTGCTAAAGGAGACAAAATGGTTCATTGAAGTAAGAACGACAACAGGACCCACACGTGCTAAGAAGAAACCACACAGTTTTTAGCAAAAGGATCTGTTAGAAAGATACAGGCAAGTGTGCTAGCATGATCTCGCCCAGAATGTTTTATCTGGTGGGTAAAAGCATAAATAGGATAATCAGAAACTATTTGTGCCTACTTGCTGTTTTCTCAGCAGGTTGGTTGTTCAACATGGCCCAAACAACAAAAACAGCAAGACTTAACGAGTGAAACAGAAAAAGCGATCCATGGCTTTTCCTTATCTGCACCTGAATTCTGGCCTCCAAGGAAGGCTTTTACCTACCTTCTATTCCCAAACTCATCCTAGTTTCCTGCCTCTTGCTGCAGATTGCCTCGAGCCTGCCCACAAATTGTGGCACCTACAAGCTAGAAACGGCACCAGGAGCTGTGCACCCATGACTAACTAAAAAGAACACTGGATAGTCTCCCAGTTCTTCCAAATCTCCAAGTTCTTCCAACATCAAGGCACAGGGTAGCGATATTCCTCTCACATTTCCTTGGCTACTCCAAAACTGCTGTTCCTTAGTCTTTGACAGCACCAATTCCCTCAGCTTTGTATTCCCACTGCGTCACCTCTAAGTCCAAATCTTCCCTCCAAGTCACAATCAGTGGTCTTGCTTAGCTTCTCAACTATTTTATTTTGAACATAACAAAAATGTTGGGTGTTTATCCTAATAACTTCTGCAAGCTGAAAAAAAATCTACTGAGCAAAGGAAACTTAACAACTTCTGAAGAGCATAATCTTTTATTTATATCTGAAATCTATTAATGATTTTCATGGAGGTAAATACAAGGCAACACTCAGCTAGTTTATTACTATAATGTTCTTGGTATAGTAAGGCATAATGATCCCAACTTGCCTTTCTCCAGAATAAAAATACGGTAAATCAGGAGTCTCTCTCAAACAGCAATATTTAGAAACTGCCAAATCAATCAATAAATAAAATTAAAGTAAAAAAATAGCTACAAACAATGCTTCCACGCCTGCTCCTCTGCACCTGTAGTTCACATGCATGCAGAGGGCAAAATGCTGCGGAGGAGCCCGCGCGAGTGATTGAGGAATCCCACACACACCAAGCAGCCCTCAGCGCTGTCAGCTCTGCCCCCGGGAAGCTCATGCATGTATTTTACACATCCCACATCCGACACTTGGAGTGAAACACTTTACAAGCAGGAATCATCTTGCAAACAATTATCCTCACTTATCTCCTGCCACCGAGCCTGAAGAAAATATCAGTTCCCAGCACTGCCAGAAATTCATTCACCGCGAAAAAATAATCCCTTGGGATGACTCAGAGCCCAAAGCGCTCGACACCGACGCTCCATTCAGCTCCCACTGCTGTCAAGGCCTTCCACGTCAGGGCACCTCCACAGAGATGGACCTTAACCTCAACCAAGTCATTCACTCCAAGCTTGCAGACTGCACAACGTTCCTTCAACGCTCTTCTCCATCAACTCATAAGGCTTCCTCAAAACACCAGCCTGACCATGTCACAGAATCACAGAACGGTTGAGGTTGGAAGGGACCTCTAGAGATCATCTAGTCCAACCTTCCTGCTCCAGCACGGACACCTAGAGCATGAGGGTGGCATCCAGATGGGTTTTGAAGACCTCCAGGGAAGGAGACTCCACAACCACACTGGGCAGCCTGTGCCAGGGCTCTGTCACCCTCACAGTGAAGAAGCTCCTCCTCACCTGGAGATGGAACCTCCTGTGTTTCAACTTACACCCATTTCTCCTCGTCCTGTCACTGGCCACCACTGAGAAGAGCTTGGCCCCTTCCTCTCCACATTCCCCCTTCATGAACTTAGACATATTCATCAGATCCCCTCTCAGCCAGTCTCTTCTCATACGAGAGATAACGTCCTTCATTACTCCTTAAAGACTTAACATTACAGCGATTCCACCACCAATGCTGAGACCGAGCACGCCGGAGAAGGAAGGCAACAAAGAACAAGGAGCCATTACCTCAGTAAGATGCGGGTTGGGGTTGAATCCACACTGGTTGCAGACCTTGTTGTGACACTGCGTGCAGGCGTTGAAGTTTGGCTGATGGGGCGAGGAGAGCAGCTCCGTGGTCTTGCATATGGGACAGAGGGTGCTGCTCGGAAGCGGGGCGATTTGAGGAACAGAGTAAGGTGAGGTAGGGGTGCTGCCCCGCTCGGGCGACGCCGACGGGGACCGTCCCGCTCTCTGGCTCCTGCCGTCCACCTGCAGCGTCCTGCGGGGCCCGTCGGCCTGCGGGCCGGCCTGCCCGCGGCTCCTCATCTCTCTGGCGCTTTCCGAGCCCTGGGCGGCCTGCGGGACGGAGGGAGAGGCTGGCCTCTGGCCAGCCAGGTGGTCCAGTTGGTCTGGTCTTCTCGGGGTGCTGAAATATTAATGAAAATAGATATGTCTATTTATTAAGGCAATATTTAATGATATTTAAGTCATCAACGCTGAAAAACGCAGTATCTCTAAAAACAGCACACACCCCTTCTGAAGCCCCGGGTCGGTCTATAGGCACAGCAACAAATATTTTACAAAAAAAGAAAAATTATTCAAAGAGATGAAAGTCAAGGCGATGTTTTACCTCACGAAACGCAGCACCATTTTGAGCAATTTAAACTCTCTCTTATGTAACTCGGCAGCAGAGGTTTAATCGAGCGATTCTGCGTACCCGGAACCGCGGTCGGAAAGCTTCCCTGCAAATAGGACGTGAAGGAGACGGTGGAGGAGCCTACTGCCAGCCGAGGGCTCCGGATGACGCCTTCCCAACACAAACTGCTGTGTTAAGAGGCAGAAGTAACTTTGATTTAAAGAAGAACTGATGGCAGGGCCCCTTTCCAGGGAAAAGCAGCCAACACCCACTTAGGCAGCACCTCACAACCTACTTTTATGCATTTCTGCAGAGCAAAAAAGGCTGAAAACTGCTAAAGCTGGTGAAGAAAAGCACCTACAGAAGCCTCAAACCCCCTCAACACGGCCAAGGAAGTGGTCACGCTTGCCTATCAGCGCAAGCCCCAGTTAAGGCTTGCCTTAACTTTGTGCTAATTAGTTGTTTCTCCAATGAGCCCCAGCTGGGGTAAACTAGAAGGGAATGCAGAGGAGCTCTGTGTTATCCAGTCATTGACCTCCACTGGGTGAAAGCAGCTGGAAGGGGAGGGTGAAGGAGCTGGCTGCCTCCCACCTGAAAGCTCTTCCATGCTATGCCAAAGCTTGGCTGGTCCTAAAACAAGCTTCAGGTGCCCAAAGCTTAAGATTTATTTTTACTTTTAAATAAATCCATTGTGAAATCAAGGCTCTGATGTGATTCTTTCCCAGCTGTTACCGCCATGGGCCTACAACCTCCTTCTTTCCCACAAGAAACTCTCAGAGGCCACCAAGTCTCATGGCTCTGCAGCCGCCCACGTTCTAGTTTCTACACCTCTGACGCTCAATACCCCAAATTGCTGAGGAATGTTCTAGATTTCAGCCCAAACTCTCAGCCAACAGCTTCAGAACGGAATATGGTTCTTAAATTCCTCCTGTTTGGCTGGAGAACACAACGCTAACTTCTCATCTTGTTGTAGATGGACGTGCAGTAGAATGTTTCCTCACAGGCCCCAGGTTCATAAGAAAGGACTTGCAATGGAGGAAACTTGTGTTATAGAATTTTAGGCAATAGAATAATCCAAGGAAGTTGCGTTTTTACCCCCTCCTCGTGTCCTCACAACCTGCGACCTACCGCTGTTTAAGGAAACTATGACTCAGAATCCCAACTTTAATAAATTGTTGACTTACCCAAGCAGGGTCTGACCTTCTAAAGGTTTAAAAAGGGGGACCTTAAATGCATAAAACTAATGAAATTCAAAGTGCACATTGCCCACGGTAATAGCAACACACCAGGAAAATAAATATTAAAATAGCACTTTGGGAATACTCCGCAGGCCCCGGTGGAAAAGCGGATTCCGAAGGAGGAATCACACCATAAAACAAGGAGAGAGGAACTGAAACGAGGGAGGGCAGCAGCAGGGTGGCTGCACTCGGCTTCCAGCCCTCGGACGTTGCTCGGTGGCCTTCCTGCCCCTCAATTAATTTGCAATATTTTCTGTTCCTACCAAATAGCAGAGTTATCCATGTAGGTATCGCTCCTTTTACATCCACTTGAATTCATGAGCCCAAAATATCACCTAGTGTGGACGTCTTTTCCTAAGTATAGCACTTGCCACCTTCCAATTTCATGGGATATTCTTTCCCTTTCTTGCCATAACAGGCAGCAGACAGACCTTGCCAGGCGTATCATTTCCTCTGCTTTTTTCCTCTCCCCATCTTTTTTTTTTTTTTCTCTCAATTGTAAATGATTTCAACCGTCTCCGTTTCTCCTTATCCATTTTCCGGCTCCAAATTATTTCCAGCGTTCGCTGCCGAGCGAGCCCTGCTGAGCTGGAATGACCCCGGCAAATGTAACGTCGTTAAATTTAGAATTAAGATCTGCCTTCTGATACCGACAGCAGCAAAATCACTGCAACGTGAAATGTTCGACATCGGCGCTGACGCAGCCTAGATGGGAATTCAGCTCCTCTCGGACACAAGCTATACAATCCCAAGGCAAAAAGCATCTTTTCTCTTTAATTCATATAAACCCGGTGTATTTGTGTACCACAATGAATGCGATACCCGTGATGCAGCAACAGAACAGTGCAATAAAATCTTCCAAAACGATTAACACGCGTGCATGCAAATCCCTCATTTGCCACGGCAGGGCTGCTATTCCAATGCAAATGTCAAAACGTCGTCTTTTTATTCCCGATTTACAGGGGAGGAAAGGTTCCCTCGATGCAGGAACTTGCTGCTCCGAAACAGCTCTAGCCAAACGCTAGCTGCTGAATTTTTGCTGAATAGTTTGCTCCCTAGCAGTGGGAAAGATGGAAAAAAAAAATAAACTTATGGCCACTATTTATAGATCAAATATTTAGCAATCTGTGAGTAGCATCATCTTCTTTTTTGCTGCTAGCATGGGCTCCACAGAAGGGACGTGTCACACCACAAGGAGACGAGTTCACTACATCCCCGATCCAACGCAGAGCCGGGGGCTCCCTCGAAACAGCAGCAGGGCATCCGAGATCCGTCTGTCTCGCCTTGGGAATGATTCCTCAGGGAAAAAGAGGGAGGGAGCTTCAGCTTGTCCGATATCGCCCTTATTTCTTATCCCCTCCCACGGCCTTCTGAAACGCTCAGGAAAAACATTACGAGCACTGGGCTGCAAACCAGTCCCAAAGGAATTGCCACCAGGATTGCTGGCTGAAGGTTTAATGGAGGTGTCGCTACGAGGCCCAACTGCAGCCGTCTCCTCGGAGCTCTATTGATTTTGCAGGCGCCTAATGGGTTTAATCGGAGCGTGACGTGGTACCAAGTCAAACACCGCCGCGGAAATCCAAACACCCATCAACACGCTCCCGTTTGTCAACAGTTTTAGTTTTGTCCAAGAAAAGAAAAAATTCCAGACGCACCTGACTAGGCTTATGAACAACCAAACCATCAAAATTTCCATTTATTATAGCCCATTTATTAATGCTTTATCGATAAAGAGTCGTGCAAATGGTTGAAATAAGGTGCATTTTCTTTGGGCTTTCTAAAACCCGTTTGCAAACTGCCTCTGATGGGACACCAAGCAGAGCAATTGGAAAATTTCTCTCCCAGTCCTTTAAGCATTGGACATACATGTGTGTGTTTATATATATAAAAATATATATATACAAGAAAGCAAATTCTTAGCTTGAGACATACAACACAAGGGAATCTTTACTAAATTTTATTAAAATAGGTTCAGAGCAAATACCACATTTTTTTTCTATAGATAGGACCCAAACCCAGAGCCCCGGAGACCCCAAGAGGTGCCAACAGCCTGGTGGGTATTTAAATAAGTCTCCCCCTCTCTGGGCAAAGGATTCGATTGCTACCTTTTGGCATCTAAAAGGGGCACCATGAGCATCACTGCGCAAAGCATGAGCCCAGCTCGGGCTTTTGCAAGAGGAGCTGAATTAATCCCGAGAAGAGGCCTCCCAAGTTTGGGATCTCTATGGAAAAATAAGAGGAAAAGCAGGGAGGGGGGAAGAAAGAGAAGCAGATGAGGGCTGATTCACTTAAAAATCAAGGTGATGGGAACATAGAGGAACCTATAGGAACACAGAGGAACATATAAGGAAGAGAAGAAGAGGGAATGCTGAGATGGCTCTACCCCAAAGACGGAGGCTTGAGCAACGAGCGCGGCTCCGGGCTGTTCCGTCGGGAGCGCGCGGTTGACCTACTTGGTTTGACTGCAACCTGATGTGCACATTCACATGACTGACTTGAGGGATCATTGAACACAAGCAGTTGAGGGAAAGCAGGCAAAGGGGAGCCGCGCTCCGGGTCCACGCGGCCCCATTTTGGGGTCGCCTGCGACTTAGAGAAGGTGACTTTGAAAGGTGACGACTCGGCGTGGGAACCACAGCGGGGAAATGTCGGATATTAGCTGGTACCTTCTGCCTGTCACTGAGGTAGTCTAGAAAATAGGGCCGGGGGCTCTTAATAAATGAAGGGAAAAAGAGCTGTCTGGCATGGAGGGTCTCCAGTTTCAGCTGTGGGCACTGGGAGTTTCATACCGGCAAGACTGAGGCCTCCACACAACGGGGGAATGTTAGTTCCCAATGTTAGATGGGAATGGGATGAGTTTCTGAGCTCATAGGGAATTTTCTGTTACTCACTGCTTTCACACACACGCACAAAAACCCAAAAAATAATTAAAAAAAACCCTACAGAACTAAAAATCAGCATCTGCTTAAACACAAGCCCTACTCAATTACAGTGTTATCCGTGCTAGGAATATGTATCTTAAACGGTTTAAAATGAGGGTTTGCCATTAAAATGAAGCTCAGTGGGTTGCAGTTTTCATACCCTAAAGGGTTACTAAAGACCGTGAGGATGAAAACATGAAGTGGTGACCAGAAACTGTGAGGGAGCATTGAAGAGAACCCTCACAGAACATCATGTGCAGAAGCTTGGCCACCACCACGTGCCTGGTGAGCGCTTTTCTTGCTTTAATTAAAATGATGCTTAGCACAGATTATCAGACGCGTTGCAGCCTCAAGGGACATCCAACACCCAGGCTTTGAAAGGGAAGGAAGTTTGGGCAGTGTCCAAGGAGGGCAGAGCCCGGGGCCTCCTGCTGAGCAGCCACGTGCTCTGTGGCTCCTGGAGGCTTCAGAGGTATCTTCCCAGGGAACCAAAGCTGTGGGGACGTTGCAATGGATTCCTGGGCTGAAATG